GACCTGGTGTCCACATATGTGGACATCATATTTTGGTGGTTATTTAGACCAAAATACTCAATTTTGCTCAATTTTGCCTGATATCCATTTACGAGGACATTATACTGCTACTGTTCTATCAAAATTTTAAACAAATATCCTCATATGTGGCTCCGATTTTTCATAAAAACAAAAATAAGGTAAAAAAAAAAATCTGGTAATTCTTTGTTTTTACATTTATCGGGCCCCAATATGCCCAAATATCAAAAAGAAATTAAAAATGCATGCTGTGGAAGAGTTTGGTTCTTAGGAGGTTAATCCAAAATGACGTCCTTCTGTGGTCATGAGCTACAGTAGAGAAAAACCAGATGCTTGCAGCTGTAATTATGTTGTACACAATTTGTGTTTCCACACGCATCTCCCACATTGCTCTCCCTCCACGCATGCATCCCCCTCTTTGTGAGTCATGAGTGCACCACAACACAGGATATGTCCTCAGTGTCTTTCCCCCTCCCACTACCCACCACCCCCACCCTCCCGCCGACCCTCCCTCAGCTGTTCCTGCGTCTGAAAGATGGATGAGTCAGCAGCAGAGTATACTTTGGCTTGTGCCAAGCCATCATCTTCCGCTCATCTCCCGTCTCGCCTCCTCTCAGCCGCCGTCCATCTCTACACACATGCCCCTGCCACGAAAGGCTGTGATTCATGTGCTGTTCACTGTCTATACATAACAGACAACTTAGCAAAGAACCAGTTTCAAGTTATGTTTTCAGATGCTTTGTTAAAGAAATTATAAAAAAAAGAATACATTATAATCTTCTTGTGACAAGCTACTAGTAACAGAGTCTATGAAAAATGCCAAGGGTAACAGTTTGGCAGGTATTAAATAGTATTGTTGCAATAACATCAGCAATGTGATTCTCAAAGAACTATTACCTTTAAAACTCGTGTCCTAAATATTTGAGGAAACTGAAAATAAGTGGCAACAGGTCCTTTGGAGGGATAAATCCAAATGTGAGACTTGAATTGGTTCATGCTGTTCTGAGGCACTGTGCAGGGCAACTAGGAAGTGTGTTCTGGACTCTATTTCAACACTCAGTTGACAGTCACATCGTCCCCCAGCTGTGGAAACACTCCACAGTCATCCCCATCTCCAAAAGAAACAACCCAAAGTCTCTGAATGATCTTCGTCCTGTGGCCCTCACCTCCCTGGTGATGAAGGCCATGGAGAAGATCATAAAACAGCACATTGTAAGAACAGCTGACCCCCTGATGGACCCACTCCAGTTTGCTTACTGTGCACGCAGAGGTGTCGATGATGCAAAAATCTTCATCTTGGACTCCATCCACAAACATCTGGAGCTCCCTGACTCCTCCGCCAGACTTCTGTTTGCTGATTTTTCATCAGCGTTCAACACTCTGCAGCCTCATATCCTGGCCACTAAACTTTCCACCCAATTTCACCTGGATGATCAGCTAATACTGTGGATATTGGACTTTTTGACCAACAGGACTCGGAAAGTTCGGGTGAACAACTCTCTTTCCGGTCTCCGTTCCACCTCCGCTGGCTCCCCCCAGGGCTGTGGGCTCTCCCCCCTGCTCTTCATCCTCTCCACTGATGACTGCAGATCCACACAGCCCAACTGTCACCTGGTTAAATATGCTGACAACACAGTTCTCCTGTCACTGCTGTCAGGCCCCTCACAACACCACGGGCCTGCTCTTCAGGAGTTTGTAGTTTGTAGAGCACGGGAAGCCAGTGGAGGTAGGTGAGGAGTACAAATACCTGGGTACCATCTTTGACAACCTCCTGAAATTCTCTGCCAACACAAAGGAGATTCTCAGGATGTGCCACCAACGGCTATACCTCCTTAGGAAACTCAACTCCTTTGGAGTCAGCACACCCATCATGATGACTTTTTACTATGCCTTCCTGGAAAGCATCATGACCTTCTCCATCACCTGCTGGTTCCACTCCCTCAGCGTTCAGAACAGGAACAGACTGCAGCACACTTCATCAGTGTGCTCTAAAATCATTGGCCTGCCTGTCAGAACTGTGGCACAGGTTTTCAGCCAACAGGCCCAAAGACAGGCAGCCAAAATCATCAATGACAACTCTCACTTTCTTCACCCCGCATTTCAATGGCTCCCCTCTGGATGACGCCTCCACTGCATTTCTTTCAGGACTGAGAGGAGGAGAACCACCTTTGTCCCCAAAGCCACCCTGCTTTTTAACTCCAGCCGATAAGACCATCTCCCACACCAGAAACATAAACTACTCTACACTCTTTTTATACTACTGACACTTTATTCACTTTTAGTCACTGTTATATGTTAATTGCCCCTTGGGGATAAAGAAAGATAAATCTTTCTGATTCTGATTCTGATTCTGGAAGAAGTCAGGAGAGAGGGTAACGAGGGAAATGGAAACACCTAGGGAGACACAGCTGACACAAATGAACATGACGCCACCCGGGAAGTAAAACAAAATATCTTGAATGCAAGAGTTTCAAAATAAAACAGGAAACACGGAGAGACGTAGACATGATAACACAAGCTTGACAACATGAAACACAAAGACAAGAAATACATGACAGACTAACACAGATGACAGGAAAAGACTCACAAACACGGAGACATAGGTGCGACATAACCTAGACTAAAACTCAACTAAACTCTAACTAATAATAACACAAGAACCTGTTATCACAACTTAACATAATTCCAATGAAACACAAAGAATCAAAAATACAAAATAAACTCAAAATGCTGGGTCACACACTCAGCCCCTGACAATAGCTTTCTACTGTTGCTAACAATAAGAATAAACAAACAGGAAAGAAAGAAAATATGAGTACCTGAAACCAGGATGAAAAAAATATAATAACACTCTGGGTAAAAGTTTTAAGAAAAGAATCTAGATATAGAAAAGCTCATTATCTCAACATGTGCATTTAATATTGTTTATGTTATCCTCGGATGACTCAAACTGCTTTCTAACCATAATTAATATTAAATGGAGCATCAAGTTCCATTTATCCAGTATCAGCACATCACAGGTTATTTATCATAGTTAGTTCTTTTCTGCTCTAATGTTTCTCAATTTTAGTTCCCTGTAGCAGCCTGTATTGATCTTGTATTTATTAGAAAGGCTCTGCAAATGCTCTTTAAAGAGCAGTCAATGCTTAGCCTTTTGCACTGATATCTGACTGCATCTCGTCTTATGTATAAAGGGATGTACAAAACTGTTGTAGTCTAGAGTCAGCCCTCATTTCTTCATGTTTTGCTTCCATACAGCCAGAGTTCTCCATCCTTTGTGAACATAAAAGTTTCTATGCACATTGGCTTTCACTCACTTTTAGTCCAGTGCTTGCAAATGGACCATTTCAGAGGATTTTTGTTTTGTTTACTGAGCCACTTAACCTTAACCTATGAATCATTCAAGCATAATAAATGCACCGAACTAAAGAGATGAACCAGTGTCGTGTCTACACATAACAGTCAACTTAGCAAAGAACTTTTAATGGTATCTTAAGGCACTTTGTTACCAGCAGCCTGTCACAAAGACACATGATTTAGTCCCATTTCTTCAGTCGAATCTATGAAAAATGCCCAAGATAACACAATTGGAAAGGCAGTATTTTTGCACGAGGTGATAAAGAGTTACGAGCTGAAAACCTTGTGCATTTTTGCATGGTGCACAGCATATCCCTAAAAACTGTAAAATAAATAAATAAGTAAGTAAATTGGACAGTTTAGTTTAGTTTAGGACAAAAGAAGAAGTGGGAGGCCTAAAAAATATCTACAGCAGATCTGAAAGTATCAGAAAGTCATGTCCTTAAGAAATCCACTAAAGATTTCAAAGGGCCTGATTGTTGCATCTGGCCTTTCAGCTGATCCATCTGCTGTTTACTGAAGACTCATCAGAAATAGTCTCAGTAGTAGGTTGGCCCAAGAGTTAAGAAGCCATTCTTAAGGAAGAAAAGCTCGAGATATATAAAATTACAAAAGAACTGGATTGAAAATATTATGTTGTTATGGACCTTATTGTGAGATTTTTGGTTCAGATCATTGTCAGTGTGCACAAAGGAAGTCAGGAGAGACGTACCATCGGTAACCATGAGTGTGTACATCCTATAAAACACGGTGGAGACTCTGTCCTGGTTTGGGGCTGTATTTTAATAAGTGGTGTTGGGGGATTTTGTCAAAACTGAATTTTAAACACACCGAAGCACTGCCAAATTTTGATTCCCCATGTATTATCATCTGGAAAGCATTTAACTGCAATGGCTTCATTTTCCTGCAAGACAATGATCCCAAACACACTGCCATTGCAGTAAAAGCAGACCTTGGTGGAAAAAACAGACAATGGAACACTATTAGTCATTGACTGACCTCCCCAGAGGCCAAACCTCAAAATTAAAGCAGTATAGGATCATCTTGACAGAGAACAGACCAGAAGGCAGTGGGCATCCAAGAACCATTCCTGAAGACTCATTACAATTGTACATAATCTGTTTAGCCTTATATACTGTATTTGCATGTGCATGTGCATATACACACTAGATATTTCATTGAATGCTACGATTTTATGTTGCTTTAAATAGTATTAACAGAGCAGGTTTTCCCTTGGATTGGGTATGAAATAATTTCACCTTGGCAGATAATTATCTCAGAATAGGAAAATAACAGCACTCAGTTTTTCTTCAGGGGTCTGGAGTCAGCATTTGATATAATCTTCTGTGTCCTGCTTCGTGTAGAGAATGTCCATTGATCTTCATCCAAAAAGACCACAATGAGCCATAAAAGCATTTCAGGGCAGTCACCAAGAAGCACATACTCTGAAGTGGTTATGATGCACAAGGTTGTTAAAGGCTGGACTTTCTCCAACTGTATGTCTGCACAAAGAATAAGCAAATCAATCTGAGACAGGCATGATTATAAGCAGAAATGCATCGCGGGACTGTCTTCCTGTAGGATCTGAAGCATTGTAGTGGAAACAGAGGAGAATGCACAGTAAATTTTCATATAAATATTTATTGCAGAGGAGGTATCTTTTATGTACATGCTATCACAATATAACACAATATAAATCTACCAAATATTCCCATATATTGATGCTATAAGCTTGTCATAGAGCAATAGTTATAACAAGCACAATACAGTGGGTTAGAGACAGTATCACTCACTATACAACTTGTAACAGTCCATAAAAGATCAATTTTTTCTTTTCTTTTCTTTATTTTTTTTTGTTCTATCAAGGGCAGTGAAACATCGGTCCTACTAATTTCTTGAATTCATGCAGAAGCCACAAGAGCAAGATTTACGACGTTACAGCGTTGAGTAGTAGTAGTAGTAGCGATAGTAGTAGTTGTATTTGCCTTCGTGTGACTTTGTTTGGTCACAAGAGAATAGAAGTCAGGTTTAAATGAAAGCAGCTAACCAACAAAAATGCACCATGGTAGAGACGACCCAATTGGAGGACAAAGAAGCTACGGGACACGGCGTGGTACAAGGACAATGGTCTTGGATTTTCACACCCGAGTAAATGGCTGAGGTTCAAATACTCACAGACTCATTGATGAATTCCAGAGAGACGGACAGTAACAAACACTTGGTTATGTATCACATTGTTCAATACACATACAGCGATGGACTGGCAGAACTGAGAATGCCTGCAGCAAGCACGCTATTGTGAATGAAAAAAGTAGACTCAAAGTTACATAAAACAGTGACTTCATTTAGTGCTGGGATGTTGCACTGTCATTTTTTGGGGTTTAGTTTTAAAATCAACATAAATTACACCATAAAAATTCCTTCTGTTGTTAAAAATGCTAACATATTGCTTGTTTTTGGTTCTTTTTCTTTTTGGGATTAAATTCAACCAAAATCATGGAGCCTCTGTTCGCTCCATTTCACTTTCAAATATGAAACAAACACATCTTTCCATGTTGAAATAACTTTCCTACAGTGACAGTAAAAGAGGCAGCAGGTTATTCTTTGAGTTCAGTGAAAATGGCAGTGACTCCGAAGTTAGGTTTAAATAAAGAAGGGGCTTTTCAAATGTCGCTGTACTCATGCAATAAAATCCTGACTCAGATGATAGATGACGCTTAACATCTGGTTCATAAAGATCACAAGGATCCATCAAAGGATTGCAATCAATCAGTGCTCTCTGACACCTCCCACAGGCTGGAGGTGGAGGTAATTCTCAGAAAATGATATCAGTTGCTGGATTGTTTTCATTTGAGTTGTGCCAAAGAAATTTAGTAATTCAAGAAAACTCACCGATGGGTACTGGCCTGAATCGTAGTCATTACCAACCCCTAATGGGTTCTGAGGAAATTGACATGAACACAGACAATTACAATCAGTAATTCTCACAAGATACCACAATGCACTGTGGATGCTTTACTGATACACAACTGCAAATATAAATGGGGGTGTTTTTTTCACTTTGATAGTTTATGGTGACTATTTAGACATTTTGATACAAAACACGGCACATCTCAAAACCTTTAAAAGATTTAGTCAGATTATTATTTGATAACTACCATGCTAAGTTTAATTATGAACTTATTAGGTTGATAAACAAATGGGGGTTCAGTCTGATTTGTATTTAAGTTGAAATGACGCCTAATATGGAGATGCGAAGAAAAACTGCAGCAGTGCTTAACCTTTAAATATAAAAGGTCACACTATTGTCAGTATTTCACATCATTCAATGACAGTTCCATTATCCAGTGAATAAAAACTTGGATTTTATTTTGGAAGTTATGGCCACTGTTTCTATCATTTAGATAGGATCATACTTGATGAACCTTCATTCATCTCTGTCTGTGTCCAGAGTTTCCTATATTGCAGATTTCAGACTTGATGCACGCAAGTATGCTTAATCTGCACTAGACCATAGACTTTGAAACACTATATAAGTAAATAAAAGATGGATGTGAACAACATGACATCACCGATGAAGAGTTGAGTTTGGTATTTTGGCTGCTGTTGGGATTTCTTCTTTTTTTTGGAGCCAGAAAGAACCACATGTGGAAGTGAGGATGAAGGTATAAGTCATCAACTTACCTTAACTAACCCAACCTGGTACTAGCGAGCAAAGTCCTGGAAATATTCCTCAGAGACTTTGGGTAGGCTGTGGCATTTAAACGGTGATGAATTTGTATTAGAGGCCTACATCCCCCAAGCTATTACAACACCACCAGCATCACCCTGAACCACTGATACAGAACTGAACCATGCTTTTGTGTTGTTAACTCCAACTTCTAACCCTACCATGCAAATGTTGGAGCAGAAATTGAGGCTTATTAGACCAGAGGCAATATTTTTCCAGTCTTCTATTGTCCAGTTCTGGTGAGTCAATGTGAAATAGGCTCAGTTTCTTGTTCTTAGCTGACAGAAATAGCATCTAGGACAGGCTTCTCCTGCTATAGTTCATCGGCTTCAAGGTTCAGAGATGCTCTTCTGCATACCTTGCTTGTAACAAGTGGTTATTAAGTAAGTATTTTTCTTTCTTTCCTTTCAGTTCCAAGCAGTTTGGCCATTCTCCTCCGACTTCTCACATCAAAAATGTCATTTTTGCCCAGAGAACTGTCATTCACTGGATATTTTTCTCTTTTTTTGGACCCTTCTGTGTAAACTCTAGAGTGGGAATGTGAGAAAATATTAACAAATCAGCAGTTTCTGAAATATTCATCCCAGCTCATCTGACAACCACAATCATACTACGTTCAGTCACTTAAATCACAGATTTTCCCCATTCTAAACTTCCCTATTAGCAGGTCTATTTGACCATGTCTACATACCTAAATGGACTGAGTTACGATGTGACTGACTGAGTGAAGATTTGCGCTAATGAACAGTGGAGCTGATGCCCTTATAAAATGTCAGGTGAGTGTAAACAAAAACATACCAGCATTTTACTCATTACAACTGTTGTACAGACCTCTTGCATAGACTCTTAGTACATTGAAATGCATCATAATCTATAATATTTGTCAGATCACTCACACACTGTAAAGTTGGGCATTTTCAATATTCTCAAGGGATTGACTGACTTAAACATAGTGGGCTCAAGTGCAGTGTAGGACACAAGTGTAGCTAACAAAGTCATCTATCGCTGCAAGATCCAGAAAAAGTAGCTATGTCCATGAAAAACGAGGTCCCAGAGGCACAGCAGCATTTCAGGCAGCTCATTTCTTTGACTAAAGGTTACTTTCTGTTGCTACAGCATGGATCTCCACGTTTTCGATATTTATGCTAGCTGCCCTTCCTGACATGACCCAAAAGCGATTAGTGTCTCCTTCATTTTCAAACAGGGTATCTTTTGCTTTTAGGCCATTCCATTAGACTATAATCTACAGATGCATAGCATGTTAATTTGTTTAATTTTGATGGATGATTATCCAGACTAAGTAATAACTTCCAGACAGTTTTAGCTAAGCCAGAAGTCTCCTTAAAAACCTGTGGGACTATCTGGCAAAATTTAGTGGCCACAACTATTATACAGAACCCAAGTTTTAATTACCCAGAATGCTTCTGTTATTGTGTAATAGAAGTTGCTTTCCTTTTTTTACGTTCAGGCAGTAGGACGGTAAACACAAAGGCAAGAACAGATCTTCTGCATCTCATTTGTCCTTTAAATATTGCATCCTCAGGCACACACTTACTCACATTTGGTGCAAGACAAAGATCCAAGCTGGATTCATACACAAAGCTGGTGCAAATAACTTTTCCTTCACTACTTTTGACATATGTGAACATATCTGACACATTCATGTTAACGCTGCTCTCAAATATCACCCTTTAGCTTTTGAAACTATAAAACAGGGTCTCAAAAAAGTGAACTGAAAACAACATTATAGATTTGCCAACACATTAACTGTTTTAGTTGACAAACCGGTAGGCTTCATCTACTCTCGATACCTGGCTGTGCATGCTGTTTATATAATTCACCATCACAAAATGCTGAAGAAGAAGACACTCGCTTCTCTTCAGACTGATACAAGACAATGCTAGTTAGATAGGCACATACAGTACATCTCCGCAGACTTGGAAGCATTTTAATCTGCCGAGAACTACAATTAAATAGATCTAAACAAAAAACAAACAAACAAACAAACAAAACATGTCTGAGTTTGGTCAGTGTGTTATATCGTGTGTGATATCATGCCATGTGGTTGAAAATAAGAAGACAAAATGTACAAGTCGGACATAACCTGTCCTCAGTTCTTAATTTGTGAAATTGGCTAAAGTGCTATAGACTGATTTCTTTCCTACGCCAAGGACAAACTAATAAATTAACTTTAGAGCTTCGAGACCTGCATCCCTCTTTGCAACTGTTCACTTGTTCTTTGGCTTTCACTTTCCCTGTTATGCAATTCAACCTTAATTTCATACTTTCTTGTTTATACACATCAATATTTGTCTCTACAGTCTCGTCCAAGAACTAATCATAGCAAAAGAAAATGTAAGAACAGCTGACATGGTGAACATGGATGTTTAACATTGCTTATGAAGTGAAAAGAATGAATTAAAAGTTGCATAATTAGTCTACAATTTCTCTTCAGGAGTTTCCTGTAATAATCTGGAATGCTCATCATGACTTTTTTTTTTTTGTAGATTTCACTTTTTTCCAAAATAGATAAAACAGGAACAAAACCTCGGAAAGGAAGGCAACTTGTGGATCAACTTTGCTTCCAAGTCACCGTACTAATAGTAAAAGGTGATATTTAACGATTTCAAAGTGGAAAAAAAGTATACATCAATAATTATAATATATCAGTGGTCCATTAAGGTTGAGTGTCATGCTTTCTTGCTCGACGTACTATCCTCAAAGTCCCAGGGACAAACATCTGCCTTTTTAGCAGCACCTACAGGCCCCCCTTTAGGAGTTGGTTTGCTCTGTTTCACTGCAGAAGCACTTTTGTCTGTACCCGTTTTTTCCTCAAAATCCCACGGACAGACTTCCGTCTGCTTTTCTTTGGCTGCTCCAACATTAGCGCTTTTCCTTTTTTCTACCAGCAGCATTTCCTGGTGACTCTCTACATCCCACGGGCAGACCTCAGCCATTTTTTGCTGGCCGACATGTTTCTCTGAAGATTTACTCTTGTCCTTCACCTTTGTTCTGCTTTTCTCATCATCAGTGTCTTTTGATTTTTCTTGGTCAACTGTTCTTGTGAAAGGGGGCCCTTTCTTTTTAGAAGGGGACTCCTTGGTTTTGGGTGCTTGTGAGGGGCTGGGTATCCTCTCTGGAGCAGCTGCACTGTTGTCGAATTCCCATGGACAGACGTCGACTTTTGATGTTAGTGGCTGTAGTGATCCTTTAGGTGGATCTCTCACATCGATTGGAGAGGTTCCCTTTTTCTGCTTTGTCACGTCTGGTGAGTGAGCTGACTCTGTTGGTTTTTTCAGCTCTTCGAAGTCCCAGGGACAAACATCTGCCCGATGTGTTCTGGAGCTTTCAACTGAAGAGGGAGGCTGCTGGGCTTTAGACTGAGACACCGATTGCTTCGATGCTTCCGCTTGACTGGCTTGACTCTCACCTCTGTCTTCCCATGGGCACACATCTGCTCGAATAGCCGATGACCTCTGAATCTCCTTTGGGTGCCTGCCACTGGATGGAGAATGATCAGAACCTTTCTGCTTCTGAGACTTGGCTCCTTTCGTGCTACCTCCATGAACAGTTGTGGTTTCCTTTGGTGCAATAGATACATGCTTTTGAACCTTATTTTCAGATGGAGTTGGGAGATCTTCCACCTCCCAGGGGCATACTTCTGAGAGATCATAGAGGTCTTTTCCCTTAATGGGGTCGGCGCAGATTGTCGGTTGGCTGCCACTAACTGGCTGTTTCATGATTATGCCTTTTGTGGTGCTTTGTTTGTACTCGACTGACTGGCTGATAATCATCTTGGGCTGGCATTCATTTTCTGGCTCTACATTTGCCTTTGTGTCTTTGCTCTTTGGCTGACTCTTCTTATTGCTTTCCTCTGTACCCTGGGTCTTTCCAGTCAAGCCCAAAGTCTTCTCTTTGGCACTAGCAATGACACTGAGGGACTTCTGCAGCATGGAGGCTCTAGGATGAATTGGTTTCTTGTCTGCAGAGAGATTATGGGCGCTGGCTGACTTGCAAACCAAGGGAACTGATTCTGTAGATTCACTGGGGGCGTTTATGTTCTCACTGGATGTCTTCTTGACCAGCTTCTTGCCCATAAGTGTATCCAGGAGGGACCCTTCAGCTGTGTTCTCATCAATCTTATCATTTACAGTGCTGCTGGAGTCCTCATTCTGGTCCCGGACGTGATCATAGCTGCTGTGCGACTTCTTCAGGGAGAACACCTTGTTCTTCAGTGTCTCTTCCTTCGCTGGTTTTGCTGGGTGAGTTGTATCCAAGGGGGGTTTCTTCAGCATGGAGATGCTGTTACGATTGCTGCCATGCTCTCCCACCTCCTTCTCTTCACGGCTGCACTGGCGATGCACGGACTCGGGAATCTCTGTGATGCGCCTCATCAGCGAGCGACCTAGCCCTTTCTTAGAGCTTCGCTTTTTCTGGAGATGAGGGTTGTTTGCTAGCATCTTCTTCCTTTTGTAAATCTCCAACTGGGAGTACAGTTTCTTCAGCTCTTCCTGCACATCAATGATAAGACAGATACAAAGTTATACGTCTTTTTTAAAAGACAATAACCTGGCTAAATAAGAAAAAACAAACAAACAAAGGTCGCGCTCAAACACTGCTACAGAAAAGCACACAATCTGCTGCACAGAAAACATGCAGTACTACCTAATGACACGTGACTACAAACAGTTTTTAAATAATGCATTACAGAGTATCACATGCTGAAAAAAAGCAAAGACGGGACAGTTTAGGACAGCATCAAATAAGAAAACGGAGTGTCTTTTAGTGTTAGGTCTGAAACAGCCTCTAAGCTCAGATCCTGAATCAGTTGGATTTCAATCGGCATTTGCCTCCGTGACAGTGAATGCTCTCAAACACCTGGATGTCACCATAAAACCCCCTCCTCTACATTATAGGCTTAAGGCACCCAAATATTTTGGTAGAGAGACTTCTTCAGCTCTAACAGACAAACAGATATCTCTGCTCACGTTGGCACGTTTTTCCCAAAGGCTGTCGCAAGACCTTATGCCACAGCCATTAATAGAATTGAGATGGCCCATTTCGTCTGGTGTCTGCAATAAAAAACTGCCATGGCTCAGTATTTTTGGAGGATTCAAAAGGTGCACAATGGAAATGTAAAAGTTGGTGGAAACACCCCTCACCCTGATGTCCTCAGGGTCCAGGCTGTGCTCGCTCCATGCTGACGTTATGCTGCTGTTGAGGTACGATCCAGAGCGACCCATGTCCAACTCGTCCTCATAGGCCTCAGACGCGATATCGTCTCTCATGTGGGTGCCAGCAAACAGGAACTGATGGAGGGTGGTAAAATTGGTCAACACTGATTGTTTCCATAACATTTCTTAAGCAAGGAAAGGCAAACAATGCAGAAATCACAATATACATATATAGCTTACTTACTTAACCTAACATTATTTAAGAAGATGGAAACAGGTCTTTAGTGCATTACTATGTATTTACGTGTCTATATAGCAAATATAAAACATTATATTTTACTGATGAAAATAAAGACCACCATGAAAGATAATGAATAAAATAAAAAGTAAGAATAAAAACAACAATATTAACAATATCTTAAATTGGTAATGCCTTAATGCTGGACAGCATCTAATACCAAAGGAGCTAAATTACAAGTAAAGCAGCATATAAGCACAGGCTACATATGACAGGTGAAGCCAATGGAGAAGTGCTTTAAATCTGGGCCAGTGGGGGCAAGTTGAATGGCCAAGTTAAGGCAATTTACTCATATACAGTAGAACATTTAAATGAAACTTAAGTGCTGCACAGATTCTTCTTCTTCTTTCCTTCCCTTAGGGGTGTCCACAGGGAATTGTCTTCCTCCATTTCACCCTATTTCTAGTGTCCTCCTCTATCACATCACCCCTCTGCATTTCCTGCCTGCCACATCCATGTTCACCATCCAATAATCCATTATTTCTCCTCTGCACAAACCAGTCTTGCCCCTCTAACTTTGTCTCCAAACTGCTCAACTTGAGCTGTCTGTCTGATGTAGTCATTTCTAATTATGTCCCAATGAAAGTCTTAACATCTCCAGCCCTGCCTCCTGTTTTTGTCAGTGCCAATGTCAATGCCATGAATCATATATCATAGCATTCTCACTACTGTTTTGTAAACCTTCCCTGTCACTCTTGCTGCTATCCCTCAGACATAAATCACCCCCAACACTCATCTCCAACCACTCCACCCTGCCTGCACTCTCTTCTTCACCTCTCTTGCATACTGTCAAAGTGCTGCACAGCAAGCGATTATAAAATAAGAAAACCATTAAAAGTCTGAGTAAAAGAAAGCTAGAAGCTACTTAAAAACTATTTAGAAAAAGAAATTATACATAGTATAGAAAATAAAATAAGGGCAAATAGTCTTCAAAAAAGGCGCGGTTGGAAAATAATCCAATATTGAAAAAGTCAATGAGAAAAGGCATCTTTTTATACAAAACTTGCAGGTAGATGTTTTCAACTGGAGAGGAACGCTACTGTAAAGTTTTGGAGCTTAAACTTGAACTAATAAGAACTTTAAGGCTAACTGACCTAGGGAGCATGACATCTAAAACTGGGAATAAGCCCAACAGATACTCAGAGTGCTTCCTGCTGATTTATTCTATGAGTACACACTATTTTAGGCCCCAGTCACATAAGTCAAGAGACCAGTCAGCAACTCCATAGCAACCTTTGGAAAAATGCATATACCCCAGCTGGTTGCCGAGTGGTTGCTGCACCAAAAACCTTGCGATTTCATTGATCGCCAGCAGTTTGCCAAAATTGACCATAGTTTGCATGCAAGACACTGACTCGTCTATGGCAAACTGTTAGCGACCAAAGCAATCACAAGCAGGTTTTTATTACAACACAAAGTAACAAGTAAAGTAACCTCCAGTAACTACTCACTACCTGGTTGGTGAATATACTTTTTCACCCTAGCGACTTTTTTAGGGCAACCTCATAGATTAAATCTATACAAGTTGCTGCTCTGTGAGCATGGAGGGGTGCTTGTGATTCAGGGCTGCTGACACCTGCTGACACAGGTCTCACAGTGATGGTTCACAAACTACAATTATTATTGTAGGGTCTTTACTTTGCAATATAAAGCGTCATGAGGCGATTGTTGTTGGGATTTGACGTTATATAAATAAACTTAAATTCAATTAGATACTACACCCATCTTTTCCATATAATTTGTGAATGTATTGCATACATTGAAATGGTTACCTTAGGAATGAGTAGAAGACCCAGGGTGACAGTGACAGTTAGGTGAGTGTGGGTGAAGAACAGGAGCAGCATCCAGTCTGGATGTAGCTCAGGAGCAAGAGTGAACCTGTAAAAATAAAGACAGACATCCAGATGTGAAGCTGATGTTAGTCAATTTCATTGACTGCCGATAGGATTTCAGTTTCTGTCATGGTGCTGGGTCGTTGACCCAGCGTTTTGTGTTTTATGATTATTTTCCTCTGTTCTAGTTATTCTGTGTCCTCCCCCCTTGTGTCCGGTTCGGGTTCTAGATTTCCTGTTTTATTCTGAAGGTCTTCAGCTTGTGTCCTCCAGTCATCATGTGTATTAGGATCAGCTGTTCTTCCCTCCTGTGTGTGATTACCCGATTACCTTGTGTGTGTATATTTAGTGGGTGTCGGTCTGTGTTCGTTGTCGGCTCGTCTGCGTTTCTTTGTGTTTCTTGGTGTCCTATTCGTTGGTCTGCGTCTCTCTGCCCCGCACCCCTTTTCGTATGCTCTCAGGTTTGTTATTTAGTTCTCCCAGTTTAGGTTGTCTTCAGTAACTGCTTATGCTTCACTGTCCGTTTTTGTCACCCTGCCACTCTGTAAATAAACTCTCACTCATATCCTCCGTCGCTTGCCTGCATCTTGGGTCCTCCTTTCATTCCACAACACGATTGCTGCCCCAGCCGTGACAGTTTCTTATATTCTGATATATCTATAAAGCTGTTCAGCATCACTGTTCAACCTGCTAAATCTCATTACATAAACCAGGAAAGTATTTGGACACAAAGACACGTCTTTATTATAGTTCATCAACTTTAAAGTGTTCATTCACTAACTGAAGTGAAACCTGCATCAAAGCTCTTGGATACAGATGGATGCGGGAGAGAAAGCTACCACCAGCGCAGCAGATTGAGCAGTAGTGTCTGTCTAGTCGTCAAATGCACTCCTGCAGTGTTCCACTTGGGTGATCCTCGTGCCAGCAAGGACACAATATTTTCCTCATCCGCTCAATTGGATTCACAATAAAAAGGACTGACCTTCATCTGGTCAAAAGATTCAGTCTATGTGTACATCAGACGGGAACACACTAGGCTAGCTGTGCTGCAGCAGTTGGAGGAAAATAAGATAATTACCATCTGAAACAACAGTGGTGAGAGGAGTAGCTCCAGCCTGTTATTTAGAACGAACTAACAGGCTTTCAGCACAGTGAGACCTCGTGTGCACTAAGGATATGAAGGCATGTCTTGTTAGATACTAATTCCACCACTGGAGAGCCTCTAACCAAGCAAATGTCATGTAGCAGGCTCATTACGCTGCTGAGGTTGGCAAATGGCTAATTAACAAACAGTTACTGTGGTAATAGCTGTGAGGCATGAATGAAGGCAAACGTCCAGCATATGAAATGTCTCGAAGCTTTGAAGTCTTCTCTCCTTCGTGTTTTGTGATGAGTTTGTGCGCAGATGAGGATTTAATAACTCTGGCATGCTGTCTCCTCTCAGCCTGCAGCATTTCACTGAGCGATCCCCACCACTCCTACGACTCCAGCGGTTTCATTCCAGCATCCAATTTACCTGGACCTGGCTTATACCTGAAGATGACCACAGCCAACACGGAAGCCTGAGCTTTAACTGGTCACTATGGGATCAAATAGCAGGTTCTTCGTGCAACATAAATAGATGGCGGATGCCTTTAACTAGCCCCGGTGCACACTGGAGCCCCAGGTGGCAACCAGACGGAATTAACCCGCCACACCAGGCGGTTCTCCAGTTTATTAAGGACCTCATCTGGCCATTTTCTGCAGAGGAAAGCCTCACAACAATGCTCGAGAGGCTCGTTAAAAGAACTGGCCAAGTAATCACAAGAGCCAGATGTTCAAAAAGACATCAGAACACTTAAAAACTCACATTTCTTCCAGTAAACTATCGATCATGCACAATTTATTGGTAATGAACGATAATAAAGCTGCCAATAGTTCAAGGAATTGATGCTGTCTTAGAAAAAAAAATCATCCTGACATAGTTCATTAGTGAATAATGTGATGGAGCTGAGCTCTCAATTAGGGCGGCTCGAGCTAGGAGTGGCTGTGGCAGTGTCAGCTGAAACATCTCATTTATTAAAACTGCACATTGCAGCTACTTGACGTGTAGACTGGAGGGAGAGGGCTGATTTCACTATGATCAAAATTAACTACGAGCTGAACAGAACAGTTGAGCTAGTGTACACGGAAATCAGGCGATCTACTGGAGGATATAAACATCAAAATGACAACCTAAACACAGACTATGATATTAAATATGGAGCCAGTATGTACAGGGAATTTTGCAAATTTAAGTGACAACATTTGCATGCTGAACACAATGTATCTATTAGTAACTATGCTTAGAGCGCTATGTGGGTGGATTCGAGCCTTACTGTTATTCCAGTGTTAAGGTTCTGATTTTTGTGTTTGTTAAACTTGGACTTTGCTTTTGCTTCTTTTATTATTCCATGAGATTTACATCCATTTATGTGTGCACACAGAAAGATCCTGAGCTGGATTTGAACTCAACACCTTTTAGCTGTGAGGCAAAAGTGACACAGACTGCCATCCAAATAAAACAAACAAACAAAAAACCACTTTTTCATCTTAAATATCTTAAATAAAAGTGTCTCTTTTTCTTCTAACGGATCCTGTCAGTTATGTTACTGTCAGTTATCATCAGTGTTAGTCATAAAATAAAAGTTGGAGCGTATTTCAAGACAGAGGAGTATTACCCAAGAAGCTCCAAATTCAGTATTGTATGGGGTATAACAGAATATAATTTGTGATGCTCAAAGTGTTTTGGTAAAAATCCTAGACAAATTTATTATATAAATAAATGGAAAATCAGTTTAAAAAGTTTTCATTTTGGATATAGCATTATAACAGATGATGTAAGCTGTAGGCTTCCTACAGTATAGCACAGGTGGGGGAGTTTACTGCAAAAAACTGTCTGTGCTGAGTCAGAAAACACAGCTTGACAAACAGCACAGGTTTACCTGCGTATCTGCTGATACTTAAATGTCCACCTTTAACAAGTCTCACTGGACCCCAGAGTAGAGCCTTCCCAGTTTCACTTCAAGACACCTCACAGATTTTTCTATCACACCACTGTATTCTTGGTTTGCATTTTGGGTTATTTTTGTTAAATATATTGATTTTGCTCGGTTTCAGCCCTCTTCTCTTCAACTCTCTGTAGCTTTAAATTATTTGAGCTGCTGCTGCCCATTTCCAGAAGAGGGCAGTACCTTTCCTGCCATTACCACAAACAACCTGAATCAAAAATGCAGCAGAATAATTCAATTCTGTGCCGTAACCTCAAAGTGCTGCTGGTTTGTACCAGGTCTGTAAATATGTACCAAGAATCTGAACAGACTGACTACTTTACACAAAGCAAAAACGTTCTTATGCAGTACTGATAACATATAAGAAATTTCTAGCTGATTAAACAACCCTTCCCTCACTAGTCTGCACCACAAATACCAGCTGGTTGAGTAAATAATTACTATTTTACTCATGTGCAATAGTTAACTGTTCTCAGATGCTACACAGCAGTATGTGATTTAGAAAATGAACAGCTGTACGCAGGCTGTGAGAGAACAAGCTAGTGTATAATCACTGGAGTAATGTGCCATGAAGTACAGCACAGGCGTGTGGATGCTAACCTGCAAAGAAAGGAACACTTGGCAAACTAATCTGACATCATGAGTAAAATGATTTGCAGTACAAATGCCGCACTGTTGAGTGACATTTAAAATATGATTTGATTATTAAAGAATGTAATTAACAGTTTCAAGTGGTTTCTAAATTTAAAAACTGTTTACACAGCCAATTTTTATCCTCTTCCGTTAGATTAGGCTATATGTTTAATGTTTTTCGTACTATTGCTGGTCTGTTGGCTACCAAATGCAAAGCAAACTTTCCCCCTGAGCTAAGGGTGGTCCACACACGGAGCAATGTGGTGATTATTATTATTATCAATTATTAAGATATTAATTATTATTAATTATGGAGTTCCACAGGGTTCAGTGCTAGGACCAATTCTGTTTACATTATACATGCTTCCCCTAGGCAGCATCATTAGAAGACA